TGACATTGTGCCGTCACTGGGAGTGTGACTGCAACTTCAAAGCCAGCGACACGTCAGCTTTTGATCTGAGAATAGGCAAGGGCGTCTGAAAACCACTGGTCAAAGTATAGTTCACTCACATTTCTGTTCTGAGCTGAAAGATGGCACACAGCTGCCACACTGTTAGAGAGCCACGAGAACTTATGATCTGTCTGCCTGCACACTCAGCTGTGTGCACAGAAAAACAGCATGGGTGATAAATATTGTAAGAAACACTTTAAGTGTGTGCAAACACAAAGACTTTAAGCCCGTTAACACCGGAATCTCATATGCTCATATGGCTGATTTTTGGAAATAATTACTCTCTGTAAACATTTCCTCATGTTTGTCCACGTGAGCTTGCCAACAGCTTTTTACAGCCAGTAAACACTGTATCGCATATCCGGGCTGTTTGGGCAGATTTCATTTGAGGTGAAAAATGCAAGTTTAAAGGTGAGGTTATGTTTGGATCATAGCACGCTAAGCTGTGTGAGCTGTAATACATTACAGGCTACTTTCCATTGCTGTTGCTGAATTTATTTTCTGTGGTTTGGTGCTGTTAAAAAAAATCTCTGCTTATCTTTTCTAGTGGAAATAAGAGCTATAAAGAGACAAAAAAGAACTGGACAATTAAATAAATGCATGATTAACTGCATTGCACACACACACACACACACACAGTGCTCGTTAAAATTCTAAATAATTAAAATGAAAGCTTGAATAAAATGATTCAATACAGAAAGGATAGAGAAGACTGAACTTATTCTGTGTATCAAAGTCGGAAGACACCAGAGGCTTTACCCACAAATCTCCTTTGAATGGGAGCTCTGTTGTAAGATCACGGGTCAGCTAGGCATGAAAGTTTCACTTACATTTAGAACTAAAGCAAGACAGAAAAAGACCAAAAAGAGTGGGGACCTTGCAGAGTCACAGCGAGTAGGCAGAGAGAGAGAACAACGCAGTGAAGAAATATATGGTTCATGACAGGAAACAGGGCAATGGGGTAAAAGAAGAAAAAAATATGTCTGAGGAGGGAAGTGGAGAGTTGACAGTGGTGCTGCAGTGGTGCTGCATACATGATTAAGCTTCAAGGTAAATATAATTATATTTTTTTTTGTTTAAGCTAAGGAGAAGATGTTTAAAAGATAAACCTGGTGATGCTCTTTACTTTATTATTGTCATCAAATTCATAAAAAGATCATAACCTACAAAAAGGTTATGAATATTGATCTTGAAGCCAAATCCTGATTTAGCTTATTCACTTGTGCAACGTAGCTCCATTGTATTTTTCGTTTGTTTGTTTCTATTTTAATTAAGACATATTACCTCCCCATACAATTGCACTGGGCAACATGTATCTTAAGAGCAATAAACAGGGCCCATTTGTTGTGGCTGTATATATACTGCATCCTGCGGGCGCAAGTACCCGTTCGTGCACCAAACGTGGATTAATCAGCCACTTTAAATTGTGCTCAGCAAATAAACTCCTGCTTGGGAAACATTTGTAACTTCCCGGTGCCCAGTTGCTGTAAGAAATTCATAAGCCTCTTTTAAAAGTTAAACTACATGCATTTACGTCTCCTGAGTAACCAGCAGGGGAGAGGATAAATGCCACATGCACAGCTGGGAAGTTGGGAAGTACTCAGAGAGTGAGGGACCAAGTAGCACCTGTTTGGTTTTGCGCCGTTCATGGAATTCATCAACAAGAAGCAATATGCATTAAATGTATTATGCATTTATTATGCACAACGTATTTATATATTCCAAATATATAAGCTGTCATGTCAGCTGTTACCGGTATATAATAATAAGCTTTACTACATTAATAATAACACTGCTGTATAGTTCACATTTGTGTATTTTTTTTGCCAAAGTTAAAGGATTTATCTTAATTCAATATTGGAATTATAAACTGTTACAGTTGTTAAAAGAAACATTTAAAGACATGCCTTTGCACACTGTATCACTGGTAGATCAGTGAATAAAGATACAGCACTGTTCCTGTAAGTAATATATAATATAGATGATATGATGCATAAAACAGGACAAGAGCAAGGCTACATACATCCCTGCAGGATTGGCCTCAAAGACCTTTATAGTGCCTATAAAGAATAGGAAATATATGCCTATATATCTATATATACCACTTTTTATTTCAGTGCAGACAGTATATACACTGTATATTTAAAATTATAGAATACATAGCAAATATATATCATTGCAGGAGAAGATGGTTTAATGGGTTTTCAAATGGCTCATTTAGCTCTGTTTATTTACATAATTATTTAAAATATTTTTAATGAAAATCAAGAGCTACGTTTCTGCGCTGATCTGTCATATTTAAACCATTTAGAAATTATTCAGAAGACATCATTCAGTGGAAAACATCTGTACAGTTAGCAGCGTTTGAAGATAAGTCTTTTTAGCAGCACTTCTAATATCTTAAGGTCCTTGTGTTGTCGGTGTTTTATATGGTCCTTAAATTTAGAAGTTATTGAAGTCCTGGGACTGAATAATAATCTAAAAATGAATACAGCTTGCACTTCTATTGAGTAAATGCTTCTATCAACTCCCTCATCAGCCCTTATTATAGATTGTAGATATCTCACACTAATGCCACCTTTAGTGTCATTAGGAATTGGAGCAGCTATCACATAGCATGATAATAGTCATTTGTTAGGATGTCACTGAAAACAAATGCTATGTAATATCCTGATGTGAGGCGCCGGGGAGGTGCTGTGTCTGTGATCGTCATTGTGATTTTAATGAGAATGTCAGTGCTGTCAGTAATAGGTAGCAGATTATAAAAAGAATCGCATATCTCCGCTCTGCTTCCTCACATACCATGGGGACATGCGTTTCTTCTACACCGTCTTTTGTGTGTATGTGTCTGCGTGTGTGCGTTTTTTGTGTGTGTGTAATTTTGTCTTCCATTAGGCTTTCTGCTGACATCTGTTTGGATGTCATGTCTTCCATCTATGTTTGGCCACATGGAGCTGAACTTTGATGTTAAAGAAGCTTCATTAGCAAACATAATTAGTTTCAATTTGCAAGGTTATTTTGTCACTTTCATTTCCTCCCTGGATTTTTCATCTACTCACTTTCATCTCACCAGAGCTCAAAGACATACTGCCATCTAGTGGCCTTTGCAGTTGGTTGCATTTGAGGGTTATTTGTTGGAGTGGTAGTATTTGTTCATAGGCAACGTCCAGTTAGACGAGAGGCAGACTTTTCTCAGAGGCTTGTTTATAATTGTGTTAAGTTTGCAAAACCTTTCTCTTTTGCAAACTTAACACAGACTTTTTAGGGGTTTTTTTCAGTTCATGAAGCTTTCAGATTTTTAAAATTCTGTTTCAAATAGGATAATAAATTAGCTGCTGCTTAAAATACCTTTTCACTTGCATCCACGTGAAATAATGGCCACACAATACTTGATAGAGGTATTAATCGAATGTTTTCATATGTGTCATTCCTAGTTCAGTTCCCACTTTCACAGGTTCTGTTTTTTGCCAGCAGATCCTGAGGAAAACTGTGAATCTCACTTGTTAGACTTAACTTAATGTATGAGGTTTAGTCAAACATTGCCAGTCAATCTCTTGTATTGAGTGTAGCCTCGACCCTCTGGGCAGTATCAGAGCTGCTCAAGTGCTTTGGCATCAGTGTGACAGGATTAACACATCAAAAGCAGTGTCAAGGCCTACAGCAGCGTCACACAGTCAGTACAGCACCTTTCATGTTCTGCTCAGGTTCTCTACAATTTCACGTAAGCCAACAGCAAGTCAGACGGAAAAAGATAATGGAGCCAACCTGCTGCTATCAGGCTTTCCCTCAGCTTCAGTGAAATATGTCAAATTCTGTGTGTTTGATGAAAGATTGGAGTTCAACAGGCTCAAGTCAGGAAACGATATCTGACTTTGTCACATGGCTGGGATGCAAAGGAGCATTTATGTCTGGCATTCAGTTTGAAATGATTGCTGCAAGCCTGCATAGTCTTCCTTTCCATGATGCAAACATTTGATAGTCAACAGAGAAGGAAAAATTAAACCCAAATCGTTTGGTACGAGTTCAAGTGCGAAGATGTCTTCCTGAGGTTTATAATCAGCTTGTTAAGGTGTGTTAGTGAGCAAAAGTGAAATGCTTCTCTGCCTTTTTCACACGAGATGCATCCAGAGTAACAGTAAGCTTTATTCATCTCACTCAAATGCAAGTTTTCAACCTGCCATTTCTCATCCACTGTGTGTCAGAAATGTCTTAGTTTAATTTAGTGTTTGTATTTTCTCTCAAATGATTTTACAGCCACATACTGTTGTTAGTAACACTGTGGGATTTGGTTTTTTAATGACTAATCATGACTGTCAGTAATAGTAATATTATAGGAGCTTTACCTTACAATATAAACCACCTTGAGGCAATTGTTGTTATGATTTGATGCTATAGAAATAAGAAATAGGAGTATTTGAGAGGACTGTCATGTACGTTTTAGAAAAACAGCACATTGTCTTTTTCATATGTCATACATATATTAGGAGACATAATGCCTTATTGACTTCAATTTGTGTAATTACTTCAATCAGTTTGACTTTGTAGACATTTTCTCTTTAGCTGCTATTTTTTTATTACATTAACTCTGCAGAGTTTTTAGATACAAAAAGACTGTTTTGAAACATAATGAATAGCTTATAGCTGTTAATAAACGCCATATTAATGTGCAATAAAAATGTAATTCAGTAAATATTTCTGACCATCTATTCTTGTAGGTACTGCTGGACTCGTATTTTGTTTAATATTTGGGGCTGTGATGTGAGGAACTGAAGTGAAACTGATTTTTCTGTATTAATGTTACATTGTAAGCATATAAAAACATCAATAACATCCCTGAAACTGTATTTATGATATGTATCATCCTTGATTGGAAATCAGACTTCATGTACTTATACAGGAGGCTTTTTTCCTATCTCACAATGACCCCTGTCCTTGTGTAGGTGGTTGACATAAAAGAGAAACTAAAGGACTTCAAGAAATTTTGGTCCAACCTGCCTGAGGCGATGTGTGTAGAAGACAGAGTGACCGCTGGAAATGCCAGCGAAGAGGAGTGCTGGAACGGACACACCAAGGGCAGGTAAGGGCAACAGAGCCTGAAGCTAATGCCAGCTAACACAAAAGGGTAGAAGTCCAAAGTCTGTTCAACCTGCTTCATATTAAGAAGTCTAAGCCTAGAATTAAGAATCAGATTATGTGCTTTCACCTGCTCTGCAAGAGCTTAGCATGCGTTTTGATTTGAACTAAAAGTAAGCTGTTGTCTTAAACATTATAAAAAAAACTTTTCTATGTGGTTTCAATTCATCTCGTGTAAAATATCATTTGCTTCCATGCGTTTTGAATTTGGTGGCATATTTGTGAAATTGTGTTTTTCTTCTTCTTCTTCTTTTGTTTTTAAATGTTCAACCAGCATCTAGATCCATCTGTTATTTTGGTTTCATTTTAAAAAGCTAACATTTGCATTAGGGCTCCAGATTCCCTGGCCGTTACTGATCTAACTGAGAAATCGATTTTTGCTTTTAATCGTTATATCAGCTATATGATTTTGAATATTTTAAACTTCTTTAATTGTTTTAATTGATATTCAATGCTATTTTCAGTGGTAGAAAAAAACAACATCAATTAAAGAAGTGAAATTTTGCCTCTTTCACCTCAGCAAAATTTCAGACGTGTGTATTTTCCAGAGTGATCTGGACTTATGGAGAACAATTGCTGCTGTGTCAGATGATCTGTGGAATTCCATCACATGACGACCTGCCGCTTATTTATCGAGCAGGAGTGCATTCAGCTGACACGTTTTCCCGAGAGAAATATGTCAAAAGAATGTCAGAACATTACCCTACACGACTGGGTCAAATGTTCATTTTGCCAACATTGTTGTTACCTCAAAGAGCAATTCCCAAGTGCTGTACTGGACCCATGACTCAAAACATTTATGGAATTCGACCGTGTTTAGCCTGTCTCTGTTTTTGTTGAGTGAATGCTTCTGATGAGATTTCAGAGAAAGCAGTCTATAACAACTAAACAAAGTAAAGGTTTTCTTTGTTTAGCAACTAAACAGTATCAAGGAAAACTGTTTTTGTTCCTTTTCTTTTTCCATCAGGTACTTTCCTGAGGTCCAAAAGGATGGCCTTACCAACCAGGTGAATAACCCTGAAGTGGGTGTTGACATCACACGCCCAGACACACTCATCCGTCAGCAAATCATGGCTCTGAGGGTGATGACTAACAAGCTGAAAAATGCCTACAATGGCAATGATATCTACTTTCAAGACTCAAGTAAGCCATTTGCCACTTCTGTCATACACACAAATAGAACAACTCACTACTAATAAGCTGTCTGCCTAACCCTAAGGCAAAGGTGATCAGCGTCAGTAAAACTGCAAGCAGAACTAAAGGTGCAAATAACAAAAATTGTATAATAATAATAATAATAATAATAAACAAAAACAACAACAAAAAAACCTTATCTTCTGCCAGATTTATGAAATTTTGAGATGTCACACTGAGTGTGCAAAATCACGTTCTGTTTAACTGTACAAATGACACCGTTGTCAAAGGAGTTTACAAAGAAAAACATCTGGACTTCTTTAAGTTGCTTGAAAACGTTTCACCTCTCATCCGAGAAGCTTCTTCAGTTCTAAGGTCAAATGGTGGAGAGTCCCAGATTTAAACCTAGTGGGAGTATCCCCCCAAAGAGGGACAAAAGGACCCCCTGGTGATCCTCTAATCGCCTGAGCCAAGGTGTGAAAATGGGTGTGGGTCCCAATCAGCCAGGGATTCAGGTGAGCTCATTGTGAAACCTGGCCCCACCTTATCATGCAAATTCCTGAGGTCAGATGACCCAGGATATGAGGGGGTCCTTTTGTCCCTCTTTGGGGGGTTACTCCCACTAGGTTTAAATCTGGGACTCTCCACCATTTGACCTCAGAACTGAAGAAGCTTCTCGGATGAGAGGTGAAACATCTTCAAGTAACTTAAAGAAGTCCAGACGCTTTTCTTTGTAAGCTCCTTTGACTACGATGACCTGGATGACTGAGAACCTTCACAAACAAATGACACAATTACACTAATAAACAAAAAGTAAAGAATCACAAGTAAATACTCACTGCTAAGTTCATTTTAGCCACTTGGGGGCAGTAGAAATAGGGAGACACATTTTTTAAACATCTTTGCAGATTTTTACTTAATGTCTACTTGATGAATAAAAGTTTAGCATTGAGTCTAATTTAAGAATTGTTTTAAGTCTCCCATAAGTTGATGAGAAATATATTTGAAGCTGAATGTTTGACTGTGTTAACCAGGCAGTGTCTGTTTATTATTTACTGTTTAGCATGCGTGTAGTGTGTATATATTAGCATATCTGAACAACACTGAGTTTGTGATACAATGTGCTGACCGTAAAATTAAGACAATTTAAGAGACTAAAGGAAAACAGAGAATGACACATTTCCCACCAGGTGGGTGATAATCATGTGATATTTAAACCCTTTAATTTATACATGAGAAAGTTCCACAGTGTCTGCTGGAGATTTTGAGCAATGTTACACTGCTATTGCAGTGCTGTGCTCATTCTGGCTTGTGTTACGGTATTGCAGGCGATGAAGGCAGTGGCTCAGGCAGTGGCAGCGGCTGCACAGAGGTCTGCCCCACATACATGGACGGTACGGCTGCAACTGAAATCCCCGTGGTGAGAGCCGACCGGAGCGGGCCTGTGGATAACTCTGCCCCGCTCTGTGCACCGTCTGTAGCACTGCCAACCATGCTGGCCCTTTCAGCCTTGGCACTTCAGCGACAGTGGAGATAATGCTAGAGGAACAGGCTAAACATGGACAGCAGGGGTTTGTTTTTTTTCCTTTTTTTCCCCTTTTTTTTGCAGTTTTTTGTATTCAGGCAGATTGGAGCAGACAGCATTCAGACTGCCAGCTTCAAGGCAAGAAGAGTCTGCTCTGAAAAAGAGAGCAGTCAAGCATCATGAGTTCCCACTTTCCCAAAGATTGTGCAGTGCCATCCTTAGACTTGATATGTTTTGGCATCACTTCACCATCTAACAGCGATGCCACCCCTACTAACTCTGCTTCTGAGATTTTAGTAAAGGTATTATTGTAGGTCTTAATGTGGAAAAATATAACACGCACTTTGATTGTTTTGATTTTTTTTTTATTGCAAAAAAAATAGTTTATTGTGTGTTGGAAAAAATGTTGAGAATGTGGTCATTTTATACACGTATTATTTTTTTAAAGCAAAGGATCCTTTGATTTGATCTGAATGGAACATGTGGTTTTAACTGACACCTTATTCCATTGTCATGAACTTATGTGCCAACTATTCATTTCTGATGAGAAGCGTAATGCTGTCATGTTTATTTTTAGATCAAATGCAGCTTCTAAATTGTGTTTCACAATCATTTTAACTGTGTCATATGGAAAGATTGTAGTTAAACTATGTCATGGGTTGGTTATGCATCTGCACAGCTTTTAGCTATTCTCTTAAAAACCTTTCAGCAGCTGCATTGTGCTTAAAGTCACTGTTAGGGTTAAGATTGACATTTTATATACTAATTTGCCTTGCAGCAAATTCATTATGTGCAAAAATATTCTCATATCAAACTGGATCCTTAGGCTTCAAGAGTAGATAGCCTGGACAGATTTATTATGGAGCAGTTACTCACATTTAGAGAAGGTGCCGCTAATATATGGGTTATGCTGTCAAGGTAGATGCTGCCTCTGCAGCGTTGTGGTGTGCATGTCCTGGTATAAAATATATTTATACCATGTCAAATATTGTGATTGATAATATAATTAGTAAGTTAAGGGTTGCACAATGGGTCTCATGCAACCACTAAAATGCAAACTTGTCAGTAAAACTAATCAAAACTAATCAAATACAAAGAGGTGTTTAAGTGCTGCATACAAGTGTTCTTCTCACAGCACAGAGGAGGTCATGTGAAGTCACTGAAAAGCAGGATTATCTTCTTTAACTGTGTAAATGGACGTTTACCATTTTGCACTCGAAGACCATTACTATCAGTTCTTGGGCTGCTGTAACCTCGATGTTAATTTACAGTAACTGGGGCTTTTAGCATTTTCAAAAAATACTCTAGAAATATTTACAGGATTTTGAGATGATTCATTAATACTGTAAATGTTGTTTTCCCTCTTATTTTTAAGGTTCAGTAACCAAAGCATATTCTGTGTGTAAATGAACACTGTAGGACCAAAACTAAAATACTTTGTGACAGTATTAACAAGTTGAAATTACAAATTTAAAAAAAGAAAGAAAATTATATATACATAGATAGATATATATATAGATGTATATCTATATACATCTATATATAATAGTTGCAAAAGGTTATGGAAATATTATGAGAAGAAGCAGCAACAGCACATAGTGGTTACTGGAAATGTAAAGAAAGGGTCTCTAAATTTATCTGGAAAGCTTGAATGGTTGCGTCTGCAGCACAGACAGGCTTGAAGCCGGCCACAGTCACCTGTGAAATGAGAATCTGTGGAGACTGGACAGAGCTGAATGCTTCAGTGAAGTTCCTCACTAGAGCGTACTTACGGAGAATGTGAGAGGCCTGGCCGTGCTGAGGGGGGCGGACAAAACCAGCCTGTATGTACGTCCACTGTTCTCTGAGAGCCCGACAGGTTCATAACCAACAGGCCTGCTAAGCTTACATTTCCAAGGAATTAGCCTGTATTAAGTCCTTTGCGGCATATCACTGAATATTTGTTGAGCTTTTTCTTTATTTCATACGAGTCACTTTTTTAACCCACATTTATTTCAAGAATATAGAGGAAATATGTCAAAGTTTCATTTAAAAGGACCCATTATTCTACATTTTGATCTCATAAGATGCCCTTTTTATTGTTTTGTATCACTGAACCTTTAATATTTTTGCAATAAAATATTGAAAATGGATGTATGGTCAGACAAATTATGACTCACAAAAATGCTCAGTTTGGGTTTTTTGTTATCTCTTTGTTTGTTTTTCAGAATTAATGCATTGCTGTTTGATTTCAAAACTAATGAGGAAAGGTTTCTATGGGGTTTTAAAATAATTTCAAACTGAGGTTTGAAGAACTAGTTGAGCAAATATGCCTTACTGTTTTTGGTGCAATTAAGATTATTGCATTTTTGTTTTATTGCTGTTCTTGAGAATAAATTCTTATTTAAAAAAAAACCCAAAAACAATTTGTAATCATATATGTTTTATATATATTGATGATTGAGATGGTAAATCAGGTTAAAACTGGTTAAAGTAGAAATGCATTTAATTGAAGACTGATTTAAGAGTGCGAGGTACTTGGTAGAACAATCGTGTGATTCATTTGCTAACATGAAATTAGATGCAACAGCTAAAAAACAATATGCTATTCAAAGAGAAGATTATTATTCTGCTCTTCTTCACAGTCGTGACAGCAGACAGGGTGCTCCATTACTATGAGGTATGTTTGAGCACTCAAGCGCATTTCAGAACAACAGGTGAAATCTAGGCTTCTTCTGTGTACTTTCTATTTGTGAAATCTGCTTTTATCAGAGGTTCAAAGCCTCTGTTTCTCCGCTGACGCAGGTAGAGCACAAAGATAAGGAGAAGTACCAGGAGACCGATGAAGATTCCTCCCAGAGTGGAGCCCAGCACAAAAACAGCCGGTCCTCCATCTGCATCTGTATAGATGAAACAGGAGATGGATTGCTGAAACCTTTGCAGTTGCAGGTTCATTGAATGTGAATGAAATCTGTAAATAAGAAGATATTTATTCCAACATAACAAAAAGAGGGTTTTTTTATGTTGATGAGCCAGCGCCATGGATTTAAAAGTGGTCTGCAGTGAGTTGATATTTGTTTTGAAACATGCAATGTTGCCCTGTTTTATTAGTGTTCACTGAAAGGCCACACGTGTCAGTGGCATATATACAATTGAGAAATTTTGCCAAAAAACTATCCATTAAAACCATAATCTGTCATTTTCAGACTTTGGTCTTGAACCGATCATGTTGGCAGTCTAATTTAGAAAATTCTGTTTATTTTTTTTCTTTAATAATTGTATGGGTTAGGTATGTCTACTCTTCATGCAAACCCAGGCTAACTCTTTGCTCCACGCACACTGTACACACTTGAGTGAAATCAATCTTTACTCTCACCAGTAAGAAATTACATCAATTTTCCAAAAATGTCCACCTATCCCACCGATCAAAGTTTTTCTTTCACTATTTGCTCACCATCCAGGGAAATGGCATAAGAATATCCCAGCTGCTCAGATGGAACATACACTTCCTCATTAGTAATGGAAGGGAAGAAGGGAACCATGTTGTAGTCTCTGTTGTGTCCAATGGGGGCCATCTCATCTGGGAAAGTGGCGTTGGATGGAACAAACCTTCTCATCCATTCATCAAAAATAGCATCAGTGAAAGCATGGAGCACCTGCGAGGTACAAATGACAAATTTCATTTTTATTAAAATGAAAACAAAGTGTGTCAGAGATTTTTTTATCAGAGGAAACCATTGAATTAGGTTTTCACCAGAAAGATGGGGTCATTGGCTGCAGAGTGAGCCAACGAGCTGGTTCCATTGAGCATTGAGTGGACAAGATTGTGAAGGTTGTCAACGGTTTCGTCCAGTTCTCCATCAGGTTTGTCGTACCCTTCGAGAGCATTTCTGTGAGGTACAAACAACAGCATTAATTCATTTGTTCTGTGAAAGAGGTGGCATAAATGTAACATCATTAACAATGGTGAACACTCCACTTTTACCTAAAGCTAAAGGAGGAGTTGGTGAAATAGGGAGGGCTGTCAAAGTCCCGAATTCCAAGACAGCTTCTGACGTCAGTCATTGTAGGCAGAGTCCTGTTGCCTTGCCGGATCATCCCTCTCTGTATGAAACCTTCACTGGTTCCATTACAAAGGGTCACGAGACGATTGTAGTCGTCGAGACTGGAAATAAATTAGATACACGTAAAGAATTTAAATGTTTCACCAACATGTACCATGAACATTCGTTAATTGGTTACACATTTTTAATACAATTACTGACAATTGTTTCCCTCCAATCAGTATTTTCTTCTGACCTGTTACACACCACCCCCCATCTGGAGAACCTGGACTGGTTACTGATGAGGAAGGGGTTGTCTGGGTTTCTGCCTCCCAGCAGAGTGTCAGTACACACATCACACTCACTCTGCCCCGTGGCAAAGTTCCAATATGGGATTGCAAAATTCTCATTGCCAGTAAGTCTCTGCAGAAGAAAAGGAAACACTCGTGTTTCTATGAAAAAGTATTGCTAAATCAGCAACATGGCTCACTAGGGATGTTTTATAGGGCCAACTCTCTCTCGTTTATATTTTATATATATAATTTTTAGGTATACCATTTTTTTATTATCTTTTTTTTAATGCATGAGAAGTTTAAAATGTCTTTGTGAAATATTGTAAGAATGATTTGTCTGTCAATTTTTCACCAAAATGTTAGTCATCAGTAAGCTTATTGAATATAACATGCAATAATCTGAGCTTTAAACAGATGTCCCTTTGACAGGTCATTTATGTTTCATCAGTGAATTTAAACAAGAATTGTGCACGCAATTTAAAAATCTGATGAGCCCAAATTTTTTAAAAAAAAATGCAAATTGTTGTGCAAAGGATACACTCCTCTACTCTCCACCACAAAAAATATAATATTTTAAGAGATGTTTAAAAAATACAAAAATAATACAAAATTCCAAATACCTGGAGTTCTCTTTCCAAACTCAGGAGGTGATACCTGTGCCAAGTAATGAATGCTGGCCCTTTGTGTGAGAAATCAATGGCTTTGAAGGGACGACCTGGACCTGGAGGAAAATGAATTGTTTCATTAGCTCATCTTTAGTCTCACAACAGTTCTGAGCTTAATAAACACTATATCTAATGCCTAAAAATATGAATTTTATAACAAACATATGAGAACGTAAAACAAAAAGTTAAGTAAAAGCATTCCTCTTATCAGTTTATATGTTACAGAATTTTTGTAGTTACAGTAAAAAAGGTCTATACTTGGAATTTGTCAGGCTTCATAAAATTTCATTAAAAAAGGGGGGGAATCTGCTTTGTAGGTATAGTATTTGTCTTATTTGATCAATTCTAACACATATTTTTATTATTGTTATATTCCTGAAAAAAAAACACACATTTAATGGTTGTAGTGGTTTTGTGTAAATATGACCATGATGGTTTACCAAGCAGAGTGTCTCTAACAGAGTAGTAATGCTGCCAGACAAAGAAGTCATAAACGGAGATGTTGGCAATCTGTGGCTCGGTTCCATTTGGTCCGAGGAGTCCGAGCCAGTGCTGAGTGGCGATGACGTAGTCTGGGTGGATGCTGCTCTTGGCCAGTTCCAGAGCGTCCAGGAACTCTTGGAGCTCTTCGGGGGTCAAGGAGTGGATATTCTTCCGCACAACGGGAGCTTTCCTCTGGTCACAGTTTGGTCCGATCCAGCCAAACTTGCACTGGCCGCAATCATAACCTGCAAAGTTACCTGCAACATAAAGAGCAAATTAATTGTCAAATTGTGCACAAACATGTAGTCACAAAACACTGTACAACAAAATAATAAAACCTAAAAATGCAGTTTAAATGCAAAAGATAAAAACAGTTACTACTGCTAAGAATCTCAACAGAAGGCCTCATTAAATAAAAAGCAGACAACAGACAAGGTTTAACACAACCCTTTACCTAGTTAAATCTAAGTCTACTTTAACCATTTGCGGATTTAACTTGTCTTATTTATCTAAATAAGCTGGTCAGCACCCACCAGTACATCTGCAAGTCTGATTGAAGAATTTGGTCGGCCACCTCTCTCTGTCATCAACATTCCTTAGTCTGTACGGTCCTCCCCAGGGTTTCGTGTCGACTCGAACAGCAGTGCAGCTTCCTCTTCCCGACAGTGAGCCACACACATTGGCAGGGTCTGAGCCCACAGCAGGGCAGCACTGCTTGGACAAAATCCCCTCCACTGTGCAGCACACTCGAGGAAACTGAGCCTCTGACAGGTCAGGGCCAAAGAGTAAACAAAGAAGACCAAGACCCAGAGCAATCATGATATATCACCTGTTTCTTTCAGTCAGCAGTGACAAATCAGTTTGTAGATCAAATCTCAGCTGTAATACGCTCAATTAGTTACCCCAGAAGAGTGTGGAATCTCACTCTGCTACGGTTCCTTGCTGTGTATCTTTGAATTAGATTCAGTGATAGGTTTAATATCTACAGAAACAACTCCTGCAGCTAAATCATGTTGTGTTCCAGTTGCCTCCATGCACATTAAGAAAGCCTCTGATTTCTGTTCTTGCTTTTGTAGAGGAGGATTAAGCCACTGGTCTTGTGATGATCACCTGACAGCAGAGCTGTGAGCCACACTAAGATCCGGATGAATTAACCAAGCAACTGCCTGAAGGAACTATTAAGGATATGTATAGAGACTTTATGCCAAAGGACTCCATTGTGATTTTTATTTGTTAGCTGTGGTTGAGTCATATTCAGCTATCCAAATAGAACAAAAATAGTTTTCAAATCAGTTCCCCGACTGCATGCCTAGTAAATCTAAATGGGAGACTAATCACTTTAATCCTGCCAGACGTTTTCTGAAAGTTTTGGAGCTTGTTAGTACAGGTTGGTTTTGAGCTTTTTGCCCTCCACATTTTCACCGCAGGTCTCAGCTGACGTCTTTTGTTATCCATGTGATCTGCGGGAAGAACAGCAGTAGAGGTATTACGACGTTGTTTCAAAGAACTCTTTTATCTTTCACACACTATACATACAGTGTCACTGTCTGTGTGATTCCTAACAAATAAAGAGCAAAATGGCACATGACAGTATGAAACTACTGGAAAAGGTTTGATATCCATCCATTCACTTCCACTTATCCTTTTGCAGGGTTGATAATTTGTGCATATTTGATATCAGTCACATAACCAGTGGCAGAAGAACTATGATATTTTAAATACACACAGCAGAAAACCCTACAATCAAAATGCATCGACATTAATTGCTGCCTAAACTTAATACCTGGTTGTGCCACCTTTAGTAGTAACAACTGCAATCAAGCATTTGTGATAACTGGCAAAGCATATTTCACATCGCTGTGGAGGACTTTTGTCCCCCTCTTTTTCTTTTCTTTTTTTTTTTTGCCTGTCCCGTTTGGCTCTTTTGCCA